AACAACCCCAATGTCTATTCATAGGGAAAATCTAAAGGAAGTGATCTGTCTGTCTGATTTACTTCGACGGTATTGCTTCAACTATAAGCAGCATGGAGGGGGATATCATAGTCAGTCAGGAGTTCATTACTCGATAATTGGCTTATGGATCTCAACCACTTAGGACAAGTAACAATAATCTGAACTGTCAACCCTAATGTCAATCGAGTTAATACCTCTCTAATTGATTCAGAGACTTGGCGCGTCTAGCGAAAAGCATCTCCAAACAGCCTGTTGCAAACTGTTATCAATAACCGCTTTCGATCGATAGTGCAAAATCAGATGGCCAGCCGAAAAGTGTAAGTAATAAAGAGCCATGATAGCTAACTAACCAACAGTTGATTATCCAAAAAATATGCAAAAAGGACATACGTCAAATGACATCACATGTCAAGGCCTCCAAAATGGAACACAAATGATAACGGACAGATGACTGGACACACCTAGATGACTGACTACGATACACTCCTTTAATGTTATTGATGCAGTAATGTTCTTCCAGTTGGATGGTTTGTTGATTGCCAACAAACTTCAAAGGATTTCAGAACTAGAGAGACTACACAGTAAGACAGTACGTGTTAGTTAGTACACATGCTAACATCATGTATGATGTGATAAATGGATCAGAGAAGTGAAAATAACATAATAATCAATTATGGCGGCTTGGATCCGTCGACAAAAAGACAACAAATAGGGGGTTTCTACTAGATACCATCTGAAATACAGCGCGATAAACAAGCCATCAACACACTTATCGACGAACCACTTCCCTAAAGTCTGTCAAACGGGCTGACAAAACAGAAACGGTATACTTTCAGGTTGACCCCAGATAATCAGTCTTCTAAAGGTGGAAGTTGTTATTATTATTCCCTTGGGTTCCTAGTGGAACATTGGGCTTCAACTGCACATTTCCACTTACTTCTGTCTTCTACTTTTCACCTGCATCCATGTTAGTCCATACTCTTTCAACTCCTATCCACACGATCTCCTCCATGTCACCCTTGCACCGACGACCCACTCGCCACGAGCTTCCCTTTCGGCCTGGTTACACTCGAGCAATGGTCTGACGCGCACGCGATGTCACCCAGCGGCCTCCTCAGCCACGAGTGTCCAATCCATCTCTACTTTCTCCTGCATATTTGTTGGTCGGCGATTGGTTCTTGTTTTGTCTGTTCCCATAGTTTCTCGTTGGTGATTCTTTCCGACCCAGCCATCTGATCTTCAGTATAGATCCAGCGAAGATAGTTGTTGGTTGACAAATATCTGGTCTGGAAGAGGCTGTTGGAAATATTATTTGTGACCCACCCGCCAACTTTCTGATCCGTATAGAAGAGGTGAGTCACTTGACGCGTTTGTATTGAAAATTCGACCGAATTTTGTTGTTGATGTTGGCTGAGTGACGAAGATTTCCAGATTGATTTCAGATTGATGATGAATGTGTTTCTCGCTCGCCTTCCCGATTCTCGTTCGATTTGACATCCTCGTCCGTTCCGACTTTCTGTAGCCGAGACAACGCTCCCTAGATAAGTGAGTGAATGAAGTAACCCCTTTCATATCCCTCCTGTTGGTGGTGATTAGCGCTGGAAGGTGATATGTGGACAGATATTTAGTTTATCAATTGCTCTTCACCTTTCATAATAACGCCTACTATTTAAGGCCACTCTTAGTATTACTCTACGTACTAAGCAACATACTTATCTCTCTCTGTCTATATATATATATATATATATATATGTATATATAATTTCAGAGTATATTGTCGGAACTGAGTAGAGGGAGGGAAAACACATCTAATGATTTCGTATTCAGGCAGCCTGGTTAAATCACTAGACGTGCAACTAACCAGACGACCTATTTGGAACAGTTAACTAACAAGTTTATATAGTTGAGTACCTATTGAGCGAGAACGAGATCTGATTAAATCCCTCGCCACTCTAATCCGACTCACCTGAAGTCCTGATGACGCCCCGGAAGCAGAACTCGATCTTCTGAAAGGAACCTTCATTCAAAATGGATGCCCACCAAGATTCATCGACAAAAATATCAAATCAAAGATCCAGAGGAATGAAATATCACTTGTTCCAAAAAAGATACTTTACATGAAACTGGATTTCAAGGGAGACTTAGCTTGCAATATTCTGAAGAGAATTTCCCAGCAGTTGCCCAATAGTCTACAGAAGTATTAAGGACAAGATATCGCATCTGACCACTTCTATGTGCATATATCAGTTCACCCGTTGCTGTGGAGCCAGCCAGGTATATTGGAAGTTCGACGTGTATCCTGAATAGAAGGGTTGAAGAACACTATTCCGCATGGCTGCAAAAAGAAGTAATAGTGGCTGTATAAGGCTATGCGATCATCGAACACACCTTGTCAACACACTGGTCATTCCATCTCAACGAATGCCTCCTTCAAAGTGTTTTACAAAGTGAAGAATAATCTACCGAAGGAAATACTCCTTTGAAAAAGCCACAATAATGTATGCAAAAAGAAAATCATCCAACCACTTCTACCATCAAGGTAACATCTGTGTTGAGTTCTACTCACCTACTGTTTGCGTGCCTGCTTTTCTAACTCTTTATAACATTTATAATTTCCAAAAATAAATAATAATTTCCCCTTCACTTTCCCAGTGGAACATAGAGCTTCAAGCTAGAGGCTTGAAGTTTCTGTAGCAGTGTTTATTTTTACAGGATGGGGTTGCTAGCCTCATGCCCAACCTTTCCTCTTTACCAGCACTTTTTCTGGCTTAGCGAGGTAAAGGAGGGCCTCGCCGGCCGGGGATCAAACCCCGGACCATGTGCATGGTCGGCGAGCGTCCTAACCGCTGTGCCACCGACGCATTTTCAAACCTGGGAGTACTGGACAGTTGTTTCGTCCTAGTTCGGGACTCTTCATCAGTACGCACCCACCGCGAGGGTTCGAACCCAGGACCTTCTGGTTACAAGGCTAACGAGCTCGTATACCATTAAGCCACAGGGAACTTTATAATTTTTAGAAATCTCACATACTTGATTGAAGATGCTCATTTGAAATTTCAAAAGATTGATTACTGGACAAAGAATACGCTTTTCGATAAATTCATCATCAGGTCCTACAGTTATATGTCCATAATAATGAAAGACTGATGGTTATTGACAACATTAATGGTTTTTAAACAGTAACATCGAATCTTACATAATTCCATATTTTTCTTTGTTTCTAGGCCCATTCTAATCATAACTCACTCATTAAACTACTCATCCTATTGAGTAACTGTATTACGCTTCAAATAAAGTATAATTATATTTCAATAGTTTACACACAATAACAAAACTTATCAATGTATGTAAACTATTGAAATATAATTATACTTTATTTGAAGCGTAATACAGTTACTCAATAGGATGAGTAGTTTAATGAGTGAGTTATGATTAGAATGGGCCTAGAAACAAAGAAAAATATGGAATTATGTAAGATTCGATGTTACTGTTTAAAAACCATTAATGTTGTCAATAACCATCAGTCTTTCATTATTATGGACATATAACTGTAGGACCTGATGATGAATTTATCGAAAAGCGTATTCTTTGTCCAGTAATCAATCTTTTGAAATTTCAAATGAGCATCTTCAATCAAGTATGTGAGAGTTCTAAAAATTATAAAGTTCCCTGTGGCTTAATGGTATACGAGCTCGTTAGCCTTGTAACCAGAAGGTCCTGGGTTCGAACCCTATCATACTACCTAACCTGCGAGATAAAACTCAGACACCTATGATCAAACACAACTAGCCTTTTCGTATCTTCCACTTTCAATGGCAATGTCTCACTCACAGCCATAAAGGAGGACAGAGCGAACTGCTGCTTTGCAGTACATAAGTCCTTCGATCGAGAACTGGATACTACGTCTACACTAGAGATGGAAATGACACACGAGTCTTTTATTAATCATGCTGAAATTTCATCAGCAATCAGCCCGTAGGGACTGATGCAGTTTCCCAAATACTTGGAGTAGGTGGTCAACACACTCTACCTTCAAGCTAGAAGCCGATGTAATCCATTTCCGTAGTGTCATCTTACATTTGATAGAAGCGAATCGCACGCCAAACATTCAAAGATTGTTACTCAGCTCAAGGTGTTCAGAAGACTGCATTTTGTCGACGTCTTCATCTAGAAGGACTACATAATCTGCATATGAGTTAAGGAGATTATTTTCTCCCTGGTAACAAGTCAATCCCTGAGTCGCTGAAGTCAGTTAGAGTTAAGTCGATTAATACATCTATGCTGAAATTAAACAGAAATGGGGACATTGGGCATCCCTGGCGGACACCACTAGTTGTCACCACTTCAAATGACAACCCTCCGTAGACTCTCACCTGGCTGGCTGACTGCATGAGTTCAAGTAGAGTGAGTGCCTTGATCAGTGTGATGTATTTTCTTAGCATCCCCTTCTCAGCCGAACATCACCAAAGTACCCCTTGATTGACAGAATCGAATGCCACTTTCACGTCAAGAAATATGACGATTGTTGGACACCGATAAGTATGCTTATGTTCCAGATTCTGACGAAGGGTGCTTCCTTTCAGACAACATAACGACGCTATGTTATAGAAGATACACTGTCAATGAAAAGATATTTTACCTGAGGATTCCAAACAGGGGAGAGTAAATATGTCACAGCAAGAAATTACGCTGAAGACTTCAACTAGGCAGTCTACACCTCTCTCTCTGCCTCTATGGCTGATTTAAACCAACTGATGTCAAGTCTTGGTTTGACCACCACCCATCGCTATGTCAGTTAACATTACTCATCGACGGAAGGTGGTGACTTAGCATACGCAATACTTGTCCCAGTCTCATCTCAAACGATGTACTTTCGCAACCTAACTGATTTAGGATAAAGCTAATATCATTATCATTACTATTAGCATTGTTATAATGTTCGTGACTGATAGAAGATATCCGCAATCACTATGGTCATACAAATTTGTAAGATTTATTTTTTAAGCAATAAAGTTTAATTAAGGACAATAGATATAAAACACATACCTACATACACACACACACACAGAGAAACACACACCAACATAGATACAGTTAATTACATTGAATGGAGCAAAAAAAAGCCAAAAGATTTTGTTCTTGTCTGTCAGTGTGTATGTGTATTTAAGAAAAGGGTGGAAAAGGAACAAGAGCTATACTATTATCCTATATACATGCCAACACAGACCACACACAAGCAGTGAGTAACCGTCATATATGTATGTATGTATGGATAAATGGATGAATGTGGGCATTAAAATTAAACAAAAGGATTCAAAATATACATTACTATTACTATTATTCAGTAGTATAGAATAACCAAATCACACCTTGAGAAATTGAAGATAAGAAAGAGGTAGGCATACTAATAATAACAATAATTATAGTACTAAAAAAACAGTATTTGTTTTGTATTTATTTTCATTTGAGAACACCATGAGACAAACAGGAGGGGAAGGGAAATTTACACACATATATTAATGAAACCTAATATAAACGAAATATAGAAAAAAAGAAGGTTTGGTTGGTTTATGCAGCACGTTTTTATGTTCCTGTGGGATGTTTTTGTTTCTACGTCTGTCTGCCTATCAACATGGCTGATTAGCCAAGATATAAGTGAACTGCAGTCAATGGAGTCCTATAGACGCGCGCACGCACGCACACACACGACAGCAAGGTGTGTGTGTGTATGTGTGAGGGGCGTCTTGAGTACATTATTCAAACCAAATTTTGTAAAAAAGAAAAAGAAACAGTTCAAACATCACGGTAAACACAGATCAAAAGAAAAGTTCTAATCTTTACAATACACAGTAACAATAATAGTAATACAGCACTACTTAGTTGTCAACGTCAGATAATCAGGCATTTGAACAGCATCCAATCGAGCAGTTGTCAGTCCTTCATTGATTTTTATAGAAGGTTGCCAAAAAGACAATAGGTACATACGCACACTCGCATATATATATATATATATATATATATATATATACATATACATACGTAGTTGGGGTAGATACCAGAAGGAAACTGTTTCCATAATCACAGCCGATTACAATTACAATTTTGGATAGGGGTGGGGTGGAGTGGGGTCATTACATTTGCATTTACAACATGTGATTTCTATGTATGTTTGTGTATTTGTGTATGGATCTGCATACAAGAGATAAATGGCTGTTCGCTTCGCTTAAGCTTGACTTGGCGTGTATGTCACACTGAAACACACAGAAAGCACTCATAGTCTCTCATTCACAAGAATCCCTGATTATTATATATCAAAAGAAAAGCATATGCAACTAGTTCAAAGGAAACTCTGTGTGTGTGTGTATTTGTGTGACACACAAATTCTGTATACAATAAAGAGGTCAACTAATTGATGGTGTTGATGTCGGTGAAACAGGATCTGTTGTTGAAGCATTATACAATGGCGTAGCTGAATCTGGTTCATCTGAATTTGATCCTAGCTCAGAAGTGACAATCGATAGGTTTGATAAGGTCGGTGGTAATTGATGAGTCAAGTAGACTGAATCTTCATTATTATTACTGTTATCCTCCTCATTGATCTCATGGGTGTTTAATAAAGTATTATTATGCCTACTAGATGAAATGTCATCAATTGTATTTGAAACAGTATCATCAGTCATACTCTGCTCAAGTGTATGATGAGTAGTTTGAGTTTCTACGCCTAATGAAGAAGACACATTGGTGCCACCCCCAACACCACCCGCACCGGCAGCAGCAGTCACCAGAGGATCTGTTCCAGATGATCGTGATTGTCCATTGAAATTTGAATGAGCAGCTAAATGCGGTGGCAGCGGATCGATAACAGCTTGTTCTAATCCACTTGTCAAATCACTCACCGATTTACTCTTCACACACTGAAAATCAACATGTCTTGACTTATTCTCCTCTTCTTCCCATGACATTCTTAGAAATGGACACTGGACATAATTATAAATAGCTTCAGGTCGACCACCAGGACGAAATTTCACTCGATCTTTACACGTTGGATAACCTTCAATACCAATACGTATTTTTTTCAGACTACGCTCCAACAGAACTTGTTTAGCCACTTCACGATTCTCGATATACTTTAAAAAACGAAACATTTGTGTATTATAGATAATATGTGAATTTAATTCATTCTCTGGCATTTGTGGTGGATATTCCGGATCCCAATCGATAATTTCATCATCGGTTACAATGACAATATGACATTCACGTTCACCTAGTTGTGTACATTTAATCAACAAATTGAGTATATGAGTTTCAAGAAATTGTCCAAATATAATATGTGCACCATCATTTGATAATTCGTGAAGAAATGCACGTAAATTTTCACAATGTACAGTTTGTTGATTAAATGGTATTAGGAAGTAATCACAGGCTTCTTTTAATTCTTGTACTGATACACCTGGCGGGCAGGACATACGACCAATTAAATAATAATCGAGTAGGGTACGAAATACTTGAGCTGATATATTCGAGTCTTGAGCAATTGATATATCCGGGGGATGATGAAGTTGATAAGCAGCAGTATTATTATTATTATAACTGTGATGGCCACGATGATGCTGATGCTGAGGATGGTGTTGGTGACGATGAACTGTCGACAATGAAGACGAGGAATGATTTGTTGTTGCAGGAGTAGTAGCAGCGGCAGAAGATTTTCGATCACTTGGTGGACTACTTTCAATTGATGTCGACTGACAATAACTACTGCTTCCGCCACCACCAGTCCCGCAGACAGGACCTGACTGATAATCATATAAATATTTTGTTTCTAAAAATTGTGAATTAAACATACGACCAAGCATTGTATTTGGATGTGCTTGTAGTAAATCCAAGTCGATTAAAAAGCGTACACCATCGACAAGAAGGCTAACACGTCGACGATTCAATGGTCCATTAGATGACTGTCTTGTACTACTACTAGAAATGATGAAATGCAGAAGAAAGAAATAACAAAAAAATTAAGTAACAATTACGATTATAGAACTTCAAGTGTTGGTTTGTAGGGATTTGATTGGATACAGGATTTCATCATGAGCTGACATTAGTTAGAGAACCATTGGAAAACCCACCAGGGAGTACTGGACAGCTGTTCATATCTCCCTAGTTAGGGACTCTTTAGAAGTACGCATCCACCGACAGGGTTAGAACCCAGCACCTTCTGGTTACAAAGGCTGGCGAGCTCGCATACTATTAAGCCACTGGGACCCGATCCAATGGCCAGTCCGTGAATTCTAGCTCCTGCCAATTCACGACATAGCGCGGCCCCTAACCAATGTTTTCGGCGGCGAGTATTTGTCCTCACACCCGACCTGCTGCACCCTACTGGTGACGACATCTCACTAGAACCACTACCTAGCTGAATAGGATAAGTCGCTAGTGAGCATCTCATTGATATTCAAGTGTTGGTTTGTAGGGTTGGTTACAGGATTTAATCCTGAGCTGACATTAGTTGGCGATTATAGAACTATTGGACAGCTATTCCGTCAGCCTAGTTTGGGACACTTAGGAAGTAAGCATCCACTGGGTGGGGGTTCGAACCCAAGAGTTCCCAGTTACAAGAGAAGCTCAACAATCATACAGCCATTGGGATCCGATCCAATGCCTCATGAATTCTAACTTTTACTTATTTGTCATTATTTTAGCGTAACTCCACCACCGGCATCATAATGTTATCGGTGGGTATTTTGTTCTCACACCTGACCTGGTGCACCCCATGGGTCATGATCACTAGCGAGCAACAGATTAATTTTCAAGAGTTAGTTGACAGGAAAAATACTTAAATGCGGACAATAAATTCACAATATCTTCCATATTCAGCTAATTTACCAATGATATCAACAGTCTGTCTGTTTGGATTCAACATAGAACTTGGCACCGAAGTGCAGCACACGTTCCAAATAGCACACAGAGGTAGACAAGAAGATGAGTGAAGAGAATCAATAAAATTTGAAAAGTATAAGAGTGAAACAGAATGGGTAATGGTAGAAAGGAATATGAAAGATTACAGAGACTGAATACATCTGCGCTGGCCATTGGCAACGATTTTGAGCCATGTCACCTATTGTCTTCAGCCATTGATTCCTAGAGTCAGTTCCAAGGGCCCCAACCCGGAAGTCTGCATCTCCCTACCTTACTCAGTTTTACTGTCAAGGGTCAAGGGACCAGTGCGTGACCGGTATCTACACACGTGTTCCAGAAGGAGCGACAATCTCCTACCGACCCACGCCAACGATGGCTTATTGCTATGTGGTCAATTTGTATCCAGCGTTGGTTTGGTGATGTGGGTCGCCAGGTCAAACAGTGTCTCTCCTTGTGTTTTGAAGTTACTGCTTACAAGAAACAAATGGTTATCTGAACAGAACTGTAGGAGACGGTCATCGTTGTCGGTTCGCTGGCACGGAACTCCATAAGTGCCACCGACATCCTTCTCAGATTGACACAATTTCCCTACTTGAGCGTTAAAGTCACCAGCTAGAACGACTATGTCTGAGCGTTTAGCCTTTCGCAACAAACTAGACAGCTTTTGGTAGAACTCATCCTTCGTTTCATCTGAACTGCAGTCAGTGGGGGCGTAGGCGGAGATTACGAAAAGGCATCGGCAAGTAGTACAGTCCTTTTTCCTTTTTACTGACCCGTTCAGACGGACAGCACACATTCGGCTATCTACCGGGATCCAGTCAAGCAATGTCTTTTCTGCCCTAATACTCAAAGCTATCCCTACACCAGCTAATCCTCTTGAACTAGCTGTGGCATCTCCTGACACCCTCAAGGTGAATTTTGCAGATTCATCCTGTTGGCCAGGTGGGGTTAAGTGAATAACCACACTTGGGTCTTGTACGCGTGTTTTTAAAACACAACATACATCAATGGCTCGGGATGCCAGAGTCTTAGCTAGCGATGCTTGTTGTCCTATTTGGCAAAGTGTCCTAACATTAAGAGCTCCCATATGAAATTGGTGGCGTGGCTTTAGAAGACTATCGAAGGTTGTTTGGCTCCCGTCGTTTTTAGTGGACACAGAGTGAAGAGGGAGTGAGGAGCCATCAAGTAGAGGAGTTCTATCAGTGGGAGGAAGGCAAGGCAATGGAGATGAAGACAAAAATAAGTGAGGATTAGAGAGGTTTTGTGTGCATTTCGGATTGTGAGGGCGTTTGTTACTTCCCGGCTGGACACAAATAGACCACATAGCAATAAGCCATCGTTGGCGTGGGTCGGTAGGAGATTGTCGCTCCTTCTGGAACATGTGTGTAGATACCGACCACGCACTGGTCCGGGCTCGTGTGTGCTTACGACTGAACGGACGTAGGAAACAAGTGGAGGTAAACCCATCACGTATCCATCTCGATCAGGAAACTAAATCCGTATTTCAGGAAGAACTAGCTAAACACATATCTGAGTTCGACAACTGTGCTCACCCTAAGAAGCCTGGAAGAATATTCAGTCAGCCATAGATATAGCTGTAAAAGCTGTGAATAAGGTAAATCCAAAGGTGAGTAAAAACCATTGGATTTCGACTGCCTCATCAGAACTGATAGATGCTAGAAGACTTATTCCGGCGAGCTCCGAATTCAATGAGGAGCGAAAGCTGCACAAAAGGAAACTTACGAAAAGTCTCCGCAAGGACCGTGAACAGTGGTGGCTGACAAAGGCAAAAGAGATGGAAAAAGCATCGACGATAGGCAACACTACTCAACTCTTTAGACTCATCAGGGAAACGGGTGGGAGAAGGCAAATCATAAGTGAGACTATTTCTGGGAAAATGGCTCCTTATTAGCTCTAACGATAGATGCCTTGAACGCTGGAAGGAACACTTTGAGGGACAATATAACTTGCCTACAGTCACACTGAACCTCCCTGACATCCAGCACACACCCAAATGGGATATAGACACTGGTCCGCCGTCTGTAGGTGAGGTCACAAAAGCTATCTGTTATTTGAAACGAGGCAAAGCGGCAGGACCCGATGGAATTATTCCGGAGGTAATTAAGTACGGTAGAGATAGTTTACTGTCTGCATTAACTGAGGTTCTAGGGAGCGTCTGGGAATCAGAAGAAGTCCCATCGGGTTGGTGTAAGTCATTGATTATCCCGATATACAAGAAGGGTGACAAGTCTTCCTGTGATAATCACAGAGGGATTAGCTTGACTAATATAGTATCTAAAGTCTTAGGCTCAATAATATTGCGTAGACTAAGTGGTGCTCGGGAGGCACAGACACGGGAGAGCCAGGCAGGCTTTAGACCAGGAAGAGGGTGAATTGATCATATCTTCACCCTCCGACAGATTCTAGAACATAGGCACTCCTACCGGCGTCCAATAGTCATTATATTTCTTGACCTAAAGGCAGCATTCGACTCTGTCGATCGGGAAGTTCTCTGGAGATGCTTGGCTGTAAAGGGAATTCCAAGAAAATATATTGCACTGATTAAGGCACTCTACTCGTACTCATGCAGCCAGGTGAGGGTTTACGGCGAGTTGCCATCTAAAGGGGTGACGAATAGTGGTGTCCGTCAAAGTTGCCCGTTATCCCCTTTTCCATTCAATTTCATCATAGATGTACTAATGGACTTAACCCTGACTCAGGGATTGACTTTTTGCTAGGGAGTAGTCTCGTTGACTTAGAATATGCAGACGATATAGTCCTTCTAGGCCAGGACGCTGACAAAATGCAGTCTTATGAACACCTTGAGCTGCAATCTACGAATGTTCAGCATGCAATTCACTCTCACCAAATGTAAGATGATGTTACAGGACTGAACTACACTGACTCACTCCTAGCTTAGAAATAGGAAGTGAAGTGGTAGAGCACGTTCACCGCTTCACTTATTTGGGAAGTTGCATCAGCCAATGCCAACAGGTTGATCTCTGATGAAATCTCAGCACGGATACAGAGGGCTAGTTTCGCATATGCCAGCTTACGCCGTCTCTGGCGTAGACGAGATATCCGACTATCGATCAAAGGGCGGGTGTACCGCTCATCAGTCCGTTCCGTCCTGTGAGACCCGGCCATTGAGAGTGGAAGACATGAAAAGACTAGCTGTCTTTGATGATAGGTGCCTGCGCTCTATTTCCCGTGTGAAGTGGTATACTAAGGTGAGCAATATTGAGCTTAGGCGTTGAGTTCTAGGTAAACAGGGGAAATCAGTCGGTGAGAGTATGAATGTTCATCGACTGAGATGGTTATGACATGTGTTACACATCCCTGACTAGTCATCGCCTTCCTCGACGGGCAGTGTTAGCTGACATAGGGTCAGGCTGGAAAAGAGTCAGTGGTGGTCAAACTAAAAACACGGCTTCATCAGTCAATGAAATCCACAACAGTTTAAGCCACGTAGGAAGGTGTAGACTGGCCTCCTGGTTGGGGTTATTGGGACGGTAAAAACCAATGAAGGCTGGAGACAATTGGTGATATGGCTCAAAATCGTTCTCAATGAATAGCGCAGATGCATCCACTCCTTGTGACTTATGATTTCCAATGAAACTCTATTGTTCTTCGTTATTACTATTCCTTTGTCTCACACCTCTGTTTACTGTCTCTATTATACATTTCTTCTACTTTCTTCTCTTGTTTTGTGTGCTACACGGAGTGGAGTGTGGCGACTTGAACTGCCGCACATATGTGCAATGTTCTATGTCGAAAACAGACAGATTCCTAGACATTCAGATGACTAGGAAAGAGGACTATAACATAAAGAGGAATATATATATATATATATATATATATATATATATATACCCTTTTTAGTACTGCCTACATTTGGTGAGACTATCATTACCAATAGTAGAATACTCACCAACCACTCAAGTGGTCTGGTCCTTGGCCGATGCACTTCTAAACCTCGCTTAGCCGACAATAGGCTCGGTAAAGAGGGAAAGAATAAAATGATAGGCAGTTGTATATCACGTTCATGTCACGGATGTGACGTGAGTTGACAAATCCCACATGAACCTATTGTATCCGTCATAAAATCTAGTCAGTCATCAATCAGTCCTTTTGGGATCGATTAAATCTTCCAGATAAGTGAAGTGGTCGGTCAACACGCTCAACCAATTCACTTCATTCCCTATCCTTTACACTAGGTGTCAGTGCAATAGATCAATTCTGCATTATCATCATTTTAAATTTGACATAGGCTAAACATTTGAAAAGATTTCTGCTGAATGGTGTTCATATAACTGCATTTCTGTCAGTCTATTCACCTACACGGACCAAATCATCTGCATAGCCTAAGTTGACAAGACTATTCCTCGGGTAAAAAGTCAATGCCTAAGTTGCTACAACATACCAGACCAACTATGAGAACAAAACCTTAAGGTGAAAGAAAGGCACACGGGACGACTCTTTAAGATAATCAACTGCTTCAATTTGAATCTCAAAGACACAGTCTCTTGCACAATCACCATGAAACAACACTCAAATAAGAGAGCGTATATCTCATAATAAATACATATAAGTATTTTACAAGTTTATCACAGATTGATATCAGTTAGACGACCATTGAAAACCAGGGAGTACTGGACAGCCAGCGGTTTCATCGGAAGTACACACCCGCCACAGTGGGGTTCGAACCCAGGACCTTGCAGTTACAAGGCAAGCTGGTTCGTATACCATTCACTCACTGGCCAGCCCATGAATTCTAACTTCTACCAATTCGTGAAATATTTAGCGCGACCCCAACAAATGTCGTTGATGGGACATCCATCCTCACACTTGACTGGATGGGTTCGAACCCCACTGTAGTAGGTACTGCCGATGATTCCCAAACTAGGCTAATGAAACACCTGGCTGTCCAGTACTCCCCCCGCCCAGATGGTTTACAATGCTCCTCCATGCGTGGTCAAACTCGTAAAAAAACAGAACTATTCCTTACAAACCAAACTATAGAAAACATATATATATATATATATATATATATATATATATATATATATATATATATATATATAAGCATACTTACTTGATAGGTGATGCCAAATTCACTTCACAAAATGGTAATGATGATAACGAATAACGTCGTTGTTCAATATTTGTTGACTGAAATAAACCTCCTCCACCATTTTGTTGTTGTTGACTTCCAGTATGATAATGATGACTATCAAGTGTTTGCTGCTGTTGATGATGATGGTGATGACAACCCCCGACAACACTGTTATGCATAGGACGTGGATAGAATAATTTTGATTGACAAGATGACACTGTTGGTCCTCCTCCTGATGGAAGAGATGCAGACAAACCGTTAGGTTGTGATGGCGGAGGAGGCGATGAGGATAATGTGAAATCGAAACCAGTATCATCATAATATTCTCCTGCTCCTCCTCGAGCAGAATTTATTAAACTACAACAACCACCAGTTATGCTATTATTAGTAGTATTATTATTATGTCCATGAGATATTCCACTACCACCCCCATTCCCACCGCCATAGTAATGATCTGATTGGTAATTCAATCGAACTGAACTTGAACATGACTCAGGTGGAGAATCACAATAAACATTATTATTAGTTACACGATTCGTATGATGTAACAAATGATTAGCTTTATGCATTTGATCAGAGATAGATGAACCTCCTACTCCCCCTCCGCTTCCTGTTGTTGTTGTTGTTATTCCAGAGGATGTTTGATGATAAGCACTAATAGCAGATGACCGTCGACCAGACTGTGGTGTAGTGAAATTCTGGCAATTATTATTATTATTCTCATGATAATTAGGATAAACAGGAAATCCACATGGAATGCTAGATCGTATACACTGTAATCCATTGGAAGTGTTTCGATTAGAAGAATGAATTGTTCTAACTGAAGTTGTGGTATTGGTAGGGGTAGGGGTAGTAGTAGATGATGTGGTAAGATTATCAGATAGAAGACAATTCATCATCATAACATGACTATCACTCATAATACTGACTCTTCTTTGTCCTTCATCACCATCAGCAACATCTTCGCCTTCGTGACCTTCTGTCTCCTCATTATCATTACTATTAATATTATTCATAGGTAATGATGACGGTGTCATCACCTCTGATAATGCTGCTGTGTTGTTATTGATTAAATCACTTGGTGGGATATCGATTAATGAATACCTACACTTAAAATCTGCTACTCCAGAACAACAATTACACGATGAAGATGTAGAATAACGATGATTTGAGATGAGTGAACTTCGATTACTATTATTATTATTATTATAATCTAATGTCTCATTATCATTTGTCGTTGAATGGCGATGTTGATGATAGGCAGCAGCATGGGTATGGTCATGTTGAATGCAGTGATGACAGTGTTGATTTAAATTATTATTGTACAACAAAGCGGATGATGTACTACCATTACAACTGACACAGGATCGATCAATCGCTATTTGTCTTTGTAGATTTTGTGTCGCTGTCGATGATGGTGTTGTTATTGTAGTAGTACTTGTTGTCAATGGATTATTACAAGAATTATCTAAAATTCGTACACGATTTCGTTTATGTCGTGTTATACTACTAGTAGGCTTAATACTTTCATTTGTCCAATTAGTAAAATTTATTGATGGATTCCTTGATCGATGATGATGATGATCAACACCGTCAACATCGTCGGCGTCATCATCAATAATTGATAAATGATCCGTTGTATCTGTAGCCATACTACTATTTGTTCGTCGTTGATGATCATGGTTGTGATGGTGATGATGATGAAATCGATTCCGACGACGTCTTTTATCACGTTTACTGGTATTATTATTGTTAATTACTGTTGTAGTCGCGGTAGTACTATTGTTCTTCTTATTCCTAATATTATTGTTTTTGTTACAAGTATGATTGAGTTTAACAGACGATGAGGAACACGACGCACCATATCCACTTTCACCATCCACTTCATCCACTACTTCTTCTTCTGCTCCTTCTCCTTCTTCGTGTTGCTGTTGATGACGACGTTGGCATTTACTACCATGATCATCTTCAACATTATTATTATTATACTCTCCTCCGTCAACATGAATATCTTCATCAGCTCGACCTTCGTCTTCAATACCTTCCTCCTGTTCCTCCCCCTCCTCGTCTTCCCCTACTTCATCTTCATCATCCTCTTCTTCATCAGCTTCGCCTTCTACATCATCGTCGTCATCCTCATCGTCATCATCATCATGGGGATTTTCTTCATCAGATAGATAACTAGGCGAGAAATGCGATGATGAAGCAGTCGATGTATTCGTTATTGATCTTAACAGACTATGTTGCTGATGTTGATGGTGATGATGGCGTAGAGCAGCGACAACAGCTTGAGCTAAAGGTGGTGCAGGGGAATCAGGTGGGCTAATCATATCACCATCATCGTGATGATGATTAGTGTTCACCATCTGGTCGTTGAGATTATTTCCACCATTACAATTATTCATCAATAGACTATGGATGATATTCTAGGAAAAACATTTTTATGAAAAAACAAAAACAAACAATAAAATCGTAATAATAATAATAATACTAATATCAAGTCAGATACATTTTACAAAATGCTTTAGTATAGTAACAGAAATGCTGAAGAGTCCCAAACTAGGACGAAACAGCTGTCCAATACTCCCTAGCAGGTTTTCCAATGGTTCTCTAACTGATTATAATAGAGGTTTTTGTATTTCCCAATGAATGAAAAACAAAACGAGATTGTTTTTACTGACGTTTCGCTATTTAATGCTAATAGCTTTCTCAAAGTATTATTAAACCGGAATTTACAAAATCTCAGCATATATATAACAAAGAGTTAGGGGGTGAGAAAAAAAATATAGACTTAGTTCAACTTAAAAGGACATATTGAAAGTCAAAATAACAATGAAGATCGTTCAAACCAAATATCAAAGGTAATAGTATATCTGTTATTATATCAAAATAAAGTTTACTAACTTGATCATCGTTCGTTAGTCTGGGGTCATTTTGGTTGTCATGTTGGAGAATAGGTAAAGGTAACTGATGTTAGCTCACGATGAAATCCTCTATGCGATTAAACACAAAATCCCTACAAAACCAATACTTGAGAAATATCCTAGATTCATGTTTTACTTAACACAATCATTTGCATTGCACGACAATTGGTGATGAACTCTGCTGCCTTAAATCTCATTAGGCGTTAAGACCAGAATTGAAACCAACAACTTATTGGTCGAGCGCCTGAATTACTAATCAACGTAAAACACTTCAATGACAACGAATCATTGTAAAATACTGAAAGTTATTCCATTAGAGATTTTTCTTTCAACCATTTAAAAGACACCATAGACAGGGTCAAGCTCAGAGTTCTAAAGATCAAGATGATCAGACAGAAAAGATAAGAAACAAGCAGCTCTGGCGGCTGAACGGAAATAACAACCTAACGCACAGCAAATGTGCAGAGTAAAATGAAGATGTATAGGACATACACTGGGGACGCCACTGAGTAATATTGTGGTGACAGCTGGCTGCAAGCCAAAAATTGTAGACAGCAATTTACGTCAATATTCACATCCCGAATCGAGGTCATGAGAAAAAAACAACGGCAAAGCTTAACCTTGAGGAACTCACCACCCAATCGCAGCAGACTTAACGTGTGCAAACACGATTCGCATATATATGACTTAGATTTCTGAGAAATGGTCACAAGCAGTACAGAATAACCTTCAGCAAGAAAACAACCAGTCAGAAAACGTTGTCTTTCCGCTGACAATAATGTACATAAAAATCTATAAATATCTCTTGATTTTCTCAATACAGGATCTGTTGCCTGGCCATTGTCTTCTGTCGTTACAGTATTATAATACGCCAGGTAGGCTCTCAAGTGGAACACGAATAGGAAATGACGAGTCGGTGGTGAAATGAAGGGGATCGTGCGGGGAGAAAATGAAAGCTTATGAACAATCTTGGAGGTAGATAAAAAAGACTTCAGAGAACCGAGTGAAATGGTCACGTGTTGCTGAAGCTCTACATCCCACGCGTAACCCAGGGGACGGACAGTAATGAGTAATAATAAAGATAATAATACTCACTGGTCCGACAGACAGTGAGTAGACTTCGACCTTCCTTTTCAAATGTTTTTATCTCGCCCCATGTGCATACCCTCTATCAGAGCAAGTTCTATTCATTGTCTCCATGAAACGAAGGCGTTCCTCGAAAGAGAGAAAGGGTGAAGCGAATATCTAGCGCTTACAACCGAACTGATGGCCATGCAGGCCTATCTAGGGGAGCTAGCTTAGAAAATCCTGATTCCAGACCCACGGTGTTGACGGGCTTCAGAGTCTGAAAGAATAGAAATAGTGTATGAACCTATAGGAACGTAGCTGCTCAACTGCCCGGTTTATGACTTCAAGTCTAAGGTTCGGGGACGGGTTTGGCCCTTAAGGCAACCGCCTGCTTCAGTCTAGGCATCCAGGGAGTATCCTAACCTTGGCACAAACTACGAGATTGTGTGTCACATCCTCCGATGCTCATTATGCACCGAATCCGCGATTTAATAAATGACAATAATAAGATAAGCAAACGATACTGCCAGCAGTTGGTTGGTTGCCAGAAGTATTCAAATAATAATATCGGCTTTCGTATTCTCAATCTTTACACAATTTTGTAGTGGCGAGCAGGTTGAGTGTAGTGCTTGTCTGAGGATGTTTTGACAAAGCTTGTTTCTAATTGAGTTTGTGGGTTTGAATGCCACTTTTATTCCTGCCTTGTTAAGAATTCTGCGTAAGGCTTCCGAGGTTCCCTCTTTGTATGGAATTATTGTTGATGATTTACATAGGAATAGGTAATAGGAATGATTCAACACCTGTCCCAGATATATGGAAAATTCTACTGCCCATACAACAAATAGGAGAAGACAGGGAAAACTATAAAAATCAAATCTCGAAGTCGTGTGACAAAAATTGATATGATTATGAACAATAAATTGTGTTCGAAACGTCATCCAGTATACAATACTGTTTCACTGTGATACATTTAATAATCAAACTAATATGGAATTACTTAATACCACAGTGCCCAAGTTTTACACATATATTAACATTTTTATTCAACACTATTATTACTACTTTATTATTCAAGACACAAAACCTGGTACAATATGGCACCAAGAAGACACCCACACAATAATCAATAAAGCATGTGAAAAAAAGGTAAAGAATCAATAAAGGACTTCATCTCGGAAGAAAGCAGTTATATTTGACAAGACCAAATAGTATTCGTCGAACAATAATCAGAAAGGGAAGGAAGAAGGAAATTGCAGCACGTTCGTCATTGATGATTACGATTCTTGGTTATATCCGATGTTTCGAGCCGCCGATTCGAGCTATCTCTCGGACCCCACGATGTCACGTCATGGGCTGACCAACCATGTCTCCGCTTTTTCCATGCAATACCAGGGTTGGCCAGCGAACAGAGGTTGGTATGGAAGCCTCTGGGATGACATTCGCAGCACACATTTAAGCCATCAGAAGTGGCGTTCCCAGATAACGACAATCAATCAATGATGATCTCCACTGTGTCCAAACACACGCCGCTGGACCTCAGAATTACTCACGTGATGATAGCATAAAAAGTAGGCAATTCTACGGTGACGGCATGATCGAATACGCAAAGTCGCCGCACATCCTCAACTCAGAGAGGCGCCGAGCACGACAGTGCGTACCAAAGCATTATAAATCTGGCCTTTGACAGCCAGGCTAACGTCGCGATAGCACCAAGAGTTTCGAATTTCAACAATACGTTTCCTAATGTAGCGCATGCTTCTACTTATATAAGAAGGCAGTCTATTGAATCCTTGTTGGTGGCTCAGTGGCAGAATGCTCGCCAACCACGCCTTAACATGGCCCGAGGTTCGACTCCCGGCCGATTCATTTCTAAATCTCGCTTAGTCGACACTAAGCCAGGTAGAGAGGGGAGGTTCGTTGTGGGGATAGAAACCCCACCCAGTAAAAAAGTTACTGCAGCTACCGAAACTTTAAATTCTCAAGCTTGAGGCCCTAATGTTCTAATCGGAGTGTATAGAAATGAAACAAAAAACTATTGAATTATTAAAAAGAAGACAAATAAATCTGGTTAGAAAAGAAAACTCACATTATTCATAGCATTGATAGCATCAACTGACGGTGGGGGACTACGAGATTGACTTCCACGCTTATCCAAGAATTCCATATGTGAATGTCTACGCCTTGCGCCTAATACAACACTTGCAGATGGTGCACAGCTTATCGAAGATGGTGGTGAAGAGAAACTAACCGGTTTACACTTGGAATAGACAACTTTATTGACGTTATGCGTAATTGTCTCACTTGAACAGGCTGTATTTGATTCACATGAAGAAATCTCACAAACTGTCGGCTGTTGAAATCCACTAGAACTAGAGAATTTTAAATGATGATTATTTGTTGTAGGTGGTCTAGGACCAGCTGAACTAGATGGTCGTAGAACTAGGCATGGTTTAACAGCAGTACGATAGTGGGTTGGATCTGATTCTTGATCACAAACTGCATTCAATGGTCTTGAAACACAACCGGTACTATGACTTCGACCTCGACCAGAAGGAGACTGATCAGATCTGTTGAATAAACAGTGATAGAAAATCCATTAGTTAGCTAAATATGCATAACTATTACTGGATTAATAAAAATCTTTTAAACTTGAATAAGAAAACACCAGAATGAAGGACATGGATTATGAATCTTAAGAAAGTAAACTAATGATACATTTTTAAGTCTTATTTTGCACGAATTTGACTGATTTCAAAATTGATCTCGAAGTGACTTCAATTAGAGAACCACTGAAAACCAGGGAGTACTGGATAGTTGCTTCGTCTTTAATCGGGGGGGGGGGGGGGGGGCGAAAATCAGTCTGCTGCTCATTAGTTACTGACCACAGGATGAAGTTGCCTGAAGCTACAGTATAAAGTAGTGGTCAATGCGGTCTGTCAAGTTGGGTGTGAGGACAACATATACTCGCCGATGATATTGACTGGCGACAACTAGCGGTGTCTGTCAGGGATGCCCACTATCCCCATTTCCATTCAGTGTTATCATAGATGTACTAATGGACTTAACCCTAACTTACTTTAGAGACTCAGGGATTGACCCGTTACCAGGGAATAATATCGTTGATATGCAGATGATGATGTGGTCCTTCTGGGTGAAGATACTGACAAAATCCAGAGTCTTCTGTACACCTTGAACTGAAATCTACGAATGTTTGGCATGCGATTCGCTCCTACTATCAAATGTAAGATGATGTTACAGGACTGAACTACACTGACTCACTCCTAGCTTAGAAATAGGAAGTGAAGTGGTAGAGCACGTTGACCGCTTCACTTATTTGGGAAGTTGCATCAGCCAATGCCAACAGGTTGATCTCTGACGAAATCTCAGCACGGATACAGAGGGCTAGTTTCGCATATGCCAGTTTACGCCGTCTCTGGAGTAGACGTGATATCCGACTATCGATCAAAGGGCGGGTGTACTGCTCATCAGTCCGTTCCGTCCTTCTTTATGACTGTGAGACTTGGCCATTGACAGTGGAAGACATGAAAAGACTAGCTGTCTTTGATCATAGGTGCCTCCTCTATATCTCCTGTGTGAAGTGGTATAGTAGGGTGAGCAATATTGAGGTTAGGCATCGAGTGCTAGGTAAGGAGGGGGGGAGGGAATCAATCGACGAGGCTGTGAAGTTACATCGACTGAGATGGTTAGGACATGTTACGTATACTTAGTCATCGCCTTCCTCGACGGGCAGTGTTAGCTGACATAGGGTCAGGCTGGAAAAGAGTCAGTGGTGGTCAAACTAAAAACACGGCTTCATCAGTCAATGAAATCCACAACAGTTTAAGCCACGTAGGAAGGTGTAGACTGGCCTCCTGGTTGGGGTTATTGGGACGGTAAAAACCAATGAAGGCTGGAGACAATTGGTGGTATGGCTGAAAATCGTTCTCGGTGGTGCAGATGCATCCACTCCTTGTGACTAATAATTTCCAATGAAACTATATTTTTCTTCGTTATTACTATTCCTTTTGTGCCGTATCCCTGTCTCTATTATGCATTTCTACTTTCTTCTCTGGCTTTGTGTATGGCGACTTGAACTGCTGCACATCGGTGCAAAGTTCTATGTCCAAAATAGACAGACAGAAAGACAGACTAGTGTTTGCACCAATATATATATATATATATATATATATCGCGAATCGATAGAAGTTAGAAATAATGGATCATAAGAATGCGTCCCATTAGCTGAATAGTATACGAGCTCGTCTTGTAGCCTAGGAGTCCTGGGTTCGATAGCTGCTGGGTGGGTCACGGGTACCTAGTGTTGAAGAGTACCAAACGGGAACGAAAGAGCTGTTCAACACTTCCTGGTTTTTAACAGTTTTCTAACTGAAGTTATTTCGTAGTCACTCTTGCAATGGCAAATACGATGACTAGTGCAGTAAGAGTCAATGGGGTGAGTCAGTTTCACCATAACAATCCACAAAAGAACCCAACACTATATGTGCTACCTTTGAGCGATAGTCAAGTTTGCTTATTGGAATAATATTTATGAACTATAATAATGTGGTCAAGGTGTGGCTCATCGGTTTAAACACTCAGTTTTCGGACAATAAGTAACAGGTCCGACGCTCGTTCCAACTAATTCAGACTAGATAATTTAGCATTATGATCAGCTCTAACACGATACATGCGTGGCTCTTAGCCTGATACACGAGAAATATGTTCTGCGTGATTGTAAGGTAGGCTGAAGAACGACAAGGTGAGAAGTAGTATTAGTAGTAGTTGGCCTCAAGTTCACTTTGAAAATCTAACAATACTTATCCTGTCTGTCTGTTTTCGACATAGAACTTTGCACATATGTGCGGCAGTTCAAGTCGCCACACTCCACTCCTTGTAGCACACAAAACAAGAGAAGAAAGTAGAAGAAATGCATAATAGAGACAGTAAACAGAGGTGTGAGACAAAGGAATAGTATTAACGAGGAACAAAACAGTTTCATTGGAAATCATAAGTCACAGGGAGTGGATGAATGACTTCCTGACAAGTAAGAAATCAGCAATGAGAGTTTGACAGTTGTCACGGTAACTGCTGGTTCTGTCATCTGACATTGTTCAACTGTATACTTTATTGAATTTATGAAAAATAAGACAATTGCTTTTTGAAAATATGTAAGGTAAAATTTAAGTAGGAGACAAGTAAACCTAGTTTACGACATAGAATAACAACTTATTGCTTTTCTAAGTCATTTTCTAATAGGTACCTTGTTCAGCGTTTTGAAAAAGATCTATCTTGACTCAGTGAATTAAATACATACTCCGATAATGAGTTTGCAGATGTTAGAACACTATGAATAGTTGAATCAATTAAAATACAAAGTTTGATACAGTATCTTATTTTGTAAGTACAAGTGTTCTCAGAAACATCCTGAAAAAGTGGTCTGAAGATATGTAATATCGAACAAATGCATTTTTATGTCATTTTACACTGACTATGAGCATTGTATTACAACCTCGATATGTAGTGATATATCTATTCAAACTAGTAAATAATTGTCTTTACTACACACTATAACACTTAAAAACTTGATTTTCTGATTCCTGGCTAAATAGTGTAGAAAGCCAACAGTAGTCAAGACGAGGTGGATAATGAAGCCTGACAAAACGCGTACTAGGCCCATGAAGTGTGAATACCAAAAGTACTATAGAGATATATGTCAGTTGACAGTCATCAAAGAACGCTGAGTATTCATATAATGATGATTCCTGGCGATTTATTCGGATATTCTTCAAAAATACACTCAAAGACGGCAACATAAAACACCCATATATATATAATATGCCTGATATATTTTGCTCAAGGAGCTTCAAAGTCATTCCGCTAGTCATCTATGAATCTGCATGGTGACAGACCGTCTCAAAAATTCCCTTAACAATTTACCGAAGAAATAATAGAAGCCGTGAATACTAATTATTTTATCACCACAAAACGTAAGAACTACACACACAACATTACAATTTAAAGACTTACAGGGAGTCTAGAGCAGCCTCAGCATCAACAGCCTGGACGTTACCGTCATCAACCGACATGATAATTTGGAATAAGCACTAGTGCTCCTGCAGCAGAAAGCAGACAATAAACCTTCAGACAGAGAGGAAAGTCTGGTCACTCAGTGTCACTCGCATGAGAAACAGGCACCACAACTTGGAAACAGAACTTAGAGATTCCATTTGGAGTGCTCTTGAGCATTAGAAGCAATTATTATACCACTTCAGTTGATAATTTTCGCAGCCTACGCAACAAACAGAAACCAATGGCAGTAACTTGTATGCTATCAACTGTAACGCTGCTCCCAAGGTCAGTTCAGGGGTTTCAATTTCGAGTTTACATTGGTCCCGTTGAAGTTATTGAATGGTTGGATTTTTATCATTAATTTCAAATGTTTTGGGGGAAAACCACGAACGGAGATGACTAATTAATTCCATTCATGCCTAGAAGGCTTCTCCTTGCTAGAGTTCCCTTCACTAATTTCCTAATTAGAAACCAGATAATGCTTCCCTTCAGAAAAAACCTATATTAACCCTCCTGTTCCGTTCGTGCTTTTTATTTAATTAGTGAACTCAAAGACCGTGCATTTTTTCACCCGCATTTTTTTGGAAACTTCAGTTCCTCTTCACTCGCGTCGGTGGCACAGTGGTCAGGACTCTCGCCGACCATACACATGGTCCGAGGTTCGATCCCCTACCGACGCACACCTGATATCTATGGTCGGCCTTAAAAATTTGGGAAACCGATATCCATGCTGAAAATTCCATGCTTGTATCAAAAATACAGTGTGGAATCAAGCTGAAATCCAAAAAAAATTTGAAAAAAAATAAAAATTCAGTATCAATGAAGCGCCCTGTTCTCACTAGTAGTTGGCTGTACTGTTTAATGTAGGTTGGTTCAGGATTAAAATCGGTGAGGCTGTTCAGGAAATCGAAAAGCATACTGGAGTTGAATAATAACCAGACTGTAATTCGTCTTCCTGTAGATAAAGTTCTAGTGCAGACGAAATCAGTAGAATAGATTAACTGATTATCAGACAGACAAACTTTTATCTTGTTCAGGCTCTAACGCGCTTTCCACTTTGCTGGTTGATAAATTCTCAAGGTTTCTCGCTAAACTATATCGGGCAGATAAATTCCAATACTCTTTCCCAAAAAATAACTGGAACCTTCATTCTACCTAAATATGTTGTTCTTCCAAGTATATTTCCAAGGTGTTGAATCCTTTTGCGTTTTTCTTTATCAATTCTTATGGGTCAGGCAAGATGGCAATTAATTAGGTGTTATAGAGTACTGGGTTTACTAAGTTTGGTTACCGAGGTATGATGTGAGTATACGGTTGCAGCCTAGTTCAACGTCCGCTCTACTATCTCTGAAAAGCAGCTGACTGCATCACATTTCTTCGAAGTAGGACGGAAAATATAGGGGAAGTTGTTAGTGAAGGATACCTAAAGCCGTAATACTCCCCTGGATAAAGCACTCTTCAACAGGATCCTTAACTATAAAATTACTCAAGAAAATACGAATTTCTTTGTCGATGCAGTGAAAGAAATCTATGGGGTGGAGACTTCTGGTGGGATTCCAGTAACATCGTGAAGGTGCCAGTCTGTGGGTCCTGAAATTAGTGACGCTGCCGGAAAACTTACTATGTGTGGTGAACGACTCGAGAATATCAGAAGAAATTGACGAATCGACGATTGTATATTCCTCTCCTGACATCACTTCTGGTCATCTAACAAAGAGTGAACGACTAGACTACTGCAGCCATCGTTGCCTTGCCTGAAACTAAAGTTCATTTCGAGTAAACAAACCGTGTAATGTTCATTTAGTGTTCACTAACACTGACAGATGTATTTTTTGAAATAAAGCAATTAACTATTCATTCACTTCATGTAAATCTGGAATAATTTTTATAGACTTCGAGACACGTTCAGGTGCACGAAACAGTATGATTTGTATTAAATTCTTCCCCGTAGTCAGGAGGTAAATAAATTCAATGAGTAACTGCAAGCTTCTCAATGTGTTTATACATGTATAAGCAGTATGGTACCGCAGCAGCGTAATTCAAATACACCAGGCCAAATAGCCGATGGGTAATGTGGCCGAGGTGCAGATCTTGCAGGATTTTCGGTTTCACAAGAACCATGGGCATTAATTCTAGCTGAAGCCAATTGGAAACGAACTCGAGGTCGTTCAAGCAGTATAATCAAGTTGCATGCTAGAATGTCACTATACATATGTGAGCACGAGCTAGGTCTTAAATTCCTAAGTAGACTGTAGTGTATTTGTGTTTGTTGAAGGCCACTTGCTACATTTCGCTCCAGTCACTTATACGTTTCGGGCAATGTTTGATTTTCCTTTCGACACTGATGTCATTGTAGCTGGGATCATATGGTATGATGATGTGGTCCTTGGAGAAGTATTGTTTTGCTTACTTGACTATTGTAACTATATCACCTATGAGTAACAGAAACAGGAGTGTACCGAAGATGCCACTTTGCACTACGCCTTTAGATATCGAACTAGCCATACACAGGTGATAGTTAACATCGATTAACTGTTCCTTCTCCCCATGAATAGAAAGCCTGTCCATTTATTTCTTACAACTTGATTCCACACCGTATTTTGGTACGAGTATGAAATTTTCGGCATGTGATATCGGTAGTTTAAATTTAGCAGGCCGACCATAGACGTCAGATGTGCGTCGGCAGGGGGTCGGACCATGTGCATGGTCGGCAAGAGTTCTAACCACTGCGCCATCGACCCTTTTGAGTTACTACACAAAATTGGAGTTTTGTTTAGTATAATATGTGGGACCTTGTCGAAAACTGTTCTAACATTAAGGACTGAATCCACTATCTAGTACACATTGTCTATGAGCTCCATAATGTATTCAAAATAGAATGACTGGTGAGCAGTGCACGACCTGTTCGACGTATCCAACCAACCAAGCGTAGGCACAGAGCAATTTACACCAAAGATAATAACATTCAAATAGTAACTTGAAACTTGAAGGGCCTTTATCCATGCAAGCCAGTTTAACAATTACCCTCTCATACGCAGTTGGCTTATCCTTACTTAAATGACGATTGACATTCTTCCTTTCAAACGGACTGATACTAGCATGGTCAGAGCACAAGACACATGACTTCATGGACGTCCCTTTCATTGTGGGTGACAACACCAACGACGACTGAGTGACACAAGTTGATGAACTCAGCAGTGGATCAGAAGCTGTTGTTGTTTGGCGTTCAGTAGGTTGTCTAACTGTAAGATTACCACCACTGCTGAATTTTTAGTTTTAGCTCCAGGTTAGCACTAGCATCTGATGATAGGTGGGCTACACGCTGATCACTTACACTGACGGCCTCATGAGTATCCATACCTTCTACCACCGCATCTGCTCTTAATTCTACTTCACGTTCAAGTTGTACAGAACCTTTGTTCAACTCAGCAGTAGTAGGCACTCCCTTCGTCTCATCATGATCAGCCAAAGACAAATGTGCACTACCATGATCATTGTCGCAAACATCCACTTTACCTCCGTCCGTATGATCAACTTCATCATTTTCAAACTCTTTAATAACAGCAGAAGATGACTTGGATTCTTCTTCATGAATCCAAAAAAGGTTTCATACCCTTACTCTGACTAGTAATACCGCGAAAACTTGTGGAGTCAGAGCTGGACTCTGAAACTGTAACTCTCTTCTGCACGAACTGTGGTGTCGTCTGTGACACTCTGTTCAACAATGGCTTACCAGGTGCAACTACAGCCTTCTTTACTGCACCATTATCGTCACACGGTTCGGAGTCGGACCATGATTTCACATTTAGCTTACCACTAAACTTGGGCACTTCTTCACAGTTCACCTTTGATGCACCTCTCGCAAACGTATAAAACACAACCGTCTTTGTCTTGCATCTTGCAACTTATCTTAGTAATAATTTTTTATTTTCATATAAACATAAATTTACATGAAAATGCATGCCATTTTTACAGGCACGATCAAGTATGGTATAATGTCAAATCTTAAATTGTCTACAAGTTAATAGTGTTTCAACAGTTAAATATTTGATATATATATAATTACACTCATTGTCTGAACCAGGCCATATAGTTATTGAACTTTACAGTTGTCCTCCAGGTTTCAGGGGAAACTGACTTCGTTTCGTTTTCATCCCGTGGTTGTCGGCATACGATAACCAACCAATATTGAGGTAAGTACAACGTTTACCAGGGATTGGAAGCTGTTTTAGAAAAGTTAAAGTGCTAGTGTGAATTGTTAAAGTGTAATAAATTAAGCAAGTGCAATATATCATTAATAAATACATTTCTATAGAAAACAGAATGGGGAAGTAATTAATCCTTAGACCGACAACGTTCATTTGCAATGTATAATGATACCAATATTCTTCGTACTATCATGATGTCAACTTTTGGCTTTAATACAACTATTTTCAAGCCGGTTGTCTTTATTTCATGCCTTTTTGTCTATTTGATGCACAACCGTACCCTACAGAGAATAGGAATAGAACAAGTTGAATCAAATTTATAAAGAGCTATAAAATGTTAGGTTTAATGGAATATAATGAGGATCAAGTAAAGACGTTATTAGAAAATGAGTGAGATAAGACATTGTGAATTGGTATTTAAAGATCTGACAATGGATAGCAAGTTGGGGATGTCCCACGAAAGCTATTACACTCACTAAGTTTATATGGATTACTGGAAACCATAAAGTTTTCTCGATATCCACTTCTCTGAGACACTTTCGTCATAAAGGATTGTGTTTTACTCTCTGACTTCTCTACTCTAGGGGCGGGATGCCTTATGCTGACAAAGTCGCTCAATCCTGGTTGTCACTGATTCACCAGTCTCACCTTATGATATAATTCTGGCTCTAATCGCTCCTCCTCTAGATGGGAGCTGATCTTTATTAACTTTCTTCGCGGCAAAGGAGATATTCTCTTGGCCACAATCTCAAGCACGGAACTTGAATTCAATTCATCTACACAATTGAGAGGCACAAAAGTATTTTTATATACCAATAAACTGTCCAAGAACTCTGCGAGTTCCTCTGAATCCTTGTGTAACTTTGTGTCATTACCTTTCACGGGCTCAAAAACGTTACGGAATATCATAAATGGTTTTCAGAAACTTTGACGTAGTATCCTAATAGCCTCTGTATATCCTTCGTTCGGGAGCATAAACATGCAGCACTCTATTGCTCTTGCAGCAACACCAGCGCAATACCTCAACAAATACATTAGCTTCATTTCGTCATTTATTGCAAACCCACTCATCATGACTTC